GACTCTGGGCCTGGAGTGAGAAGGTACAGTCCTGTTACAGACCTGCTCCAGTTCTGGTCCTGGTCCTGGTCCTGGTTCAATGTGTGTGGGTGTGTGTGTTTCAGGGAGTTCTTCAGGACCTGAGTGTTCTGACCCGGATCCATGGTTTTGACCCGGTGTGGGCTCTGCTCGTGTCCGGAGCCGTCATGTTCATCCTGGGCTTCGCCGGCTGTGTGGGCGCCCTGAGGGAGAACCTGTGTCTGCTCAAGGCCGTGAGTCTGACCCTCTGACCCTCCTTTGACCTTCCTCTGACCCTCCTTTGACCTTCCTCTGACCCTCCTCTGACCTTCCTCTGACCATCTGACCCTCTTCTGACCTTCCTCTGACCCTCCTGACCCTCCTCTGACCCTCTGCTCCTGCTTTAGTCCTGGTTTTGACCTGGTTCTGGTTCTATAGTTCTGGTGTACGGTGGATCTGATGTGTGGTTGTGGTTCTGGTTGTGGTTCTGTAGTTCTCGTCCATGGTGGGTCTGATGTGTGGTTCTGGTTCTGGTTGTGGTTCTGTAGTTCTCGTCCATGGTGGGTCTGATGTGTGGTTCTGGTTCTGGTTGTGGTTCTGTAGTTCTCGTCCATGGTGGGTCTGATGTGTGGTTCTGGTTCTGGTTGTGGTTCTGTAGTTCTCGTCCATGGTGGGTCTGATGTGTGGTTCTGGTTCTGGTTGTGGTTCTGTAGTTCTCGTCCATGGTGGGTCTGATGTGTGGTTCTGGTTCTGGTTGTGGTTCTGTAATTCTCGTCCATGGTGGGTCTGATGTGTGGTTCTGGTTCTGTAGTTCTCGTCCATGGTGGGTCTGATCTTCCTGCTGGAGGTTCTGGCCGTGGTTCTGGTCCTGGTGTTTCAGAGTCAGGTGTTTGACTGGATCCAGGCGTTCTTCATGAAGAACATCAGAGCGTACAGAGACGACATCGACCTGCAGAACCTCATCGACTCCCTGCAGACCTCGGTACCACTCCTCTGCTCTTCATCCTCCTCTTCATCCTCCTCTTCCTCCTCTTCTCCTCTCCTTCTCTCCTTCTCCTCCTCCTCTTCCTCCTCTTCCTCTCCTCTTCCTTTTCCTCCTCTGCTCTTCATCCTCCTCTTCTCCTCCTCTTCATCCTCCTCCTCTTCTGCTCTTCATCCTTCTCTCCTCCTCCTCCTCTTCCTCTCCTCTGCCTTTTCCTCCTCTGCTCTTCATCCTTCTCTGCTCTTTATCCTCCTCTCCTCCTCTTCCTCCTCCTCCTCCTTCTCTCCTCCTCTTCATCCTCCTCTTCCTCTTCTCCTCCTCCTCTCCTCCTCCTCCTCTCCACCTCCTCCTCCTCTACTCCTCTTCTTCCTCCTCCTCTACTCCTCTTCTTCCCTCTTCCTCCTCCTCTTCTTCCTCCTCCTCATCATCAGTTTCTTCTTCTTCTCTTGTTTTCAGACGTGGTGTTGTGGGGCTCAGGGTCCTGACGACTGGGAGCAGAATCCTTATTTTTCCTGTAATTCCACAAACGCCTCCAGAGAGCGCTGTGGAGTCCCCTTCTCCTGCTGCGTCCTGGACCCCGCCGTGAGTACTGCACCTGTACTACTACTACTACTACAGCTACTACTACTACTATTACTACTACTACTAGTGAATCAGAGTAAACAGTTTAACTCTTGTTGTGTTTCAGGAGTCGGTGTTAAACTCTCAGTGTGGATATGACGTACGCAAAAGGTCAAAGGTCAGACCAACTCTCTCCTCTGATTGGCCGTCCTCATCTCTCCTCTTATTGGCTCTCCTCTCCTCTGACTGGTTCTCCTCTGATTGGCCATCTCTCCTCTCCTCTTCTCTGATTGGCCGTCCTCTCCTCCTCTGATTGGCTGTTCTCTCCTCTCCTCCAATTGGCTGTCCTCTCTTCTTCTCTGATTGGCCGTGTCTCCTCTCCTCTGATTGGTCGCATCTCCTCTCCTCCTCTGATTGGCCGTGTCCCCTCTCCTCTGATTGGCTGTCCTCTCCTCTCCTCTGATTGGCTGTCCTCTCCTCTCCACTGATTGGCCGTGTCTCCTCTCCTCTGATTGGCCGTGTCTCCTCTCCTCTCTTCTGATTGGCCGTCTCTCCTCTTTTCTCCTCTGATTGACCGTCCTTGTCTCCTCTCCTCTGATTGGCCGTGTCTGTCCTGTCTGCAGTCTGATTGGGCGGAGCAGATCCACACTCGTGGTTGTATCGCGGCGCTGGAGCAGTGGGTCCCTGGGAACCTGTACACCGTGGCCCTGGTGTTTGTGACCGTGTCCGTGCTGCAGGTCTGGACCGGGACCGGGGACTGGACCAGGACCGGGGACTACACCAGGACTAACCTCACTGTTGCTCTTGTTGCAGATGCTGGGGATCTATTTGGCCCGAAGTTTAATCACCGACATTTACAAAGTCCAGATCAACCATATCCGAAACCCGGTCTACTGAGAACTGGACCTGGACTGGACCGGGACTGGACCAGGACTACGGAGTCTGCAGTGGACCAAACTAACTACTGAAAATAACTGAGGACTAATGAGCTAACTGTGCCTTCAACTTCTCCACACACGCGGGACCAGACCAGGTCTAGACCAGGTCCAGATCTGGGACAGTCCAGGGGGTACACATGGTCTGGGCCTGGTCTGGACCTGGTCTGGGCCTGGTCTGGGCCTGGTCTGGACCTGGTCTGGACCTGGTACCCGGGTGTGGCCCTGCGCTCTCGTCTGCTTTGATAATAATGTTTTATTTTTGTAAAACTGTTGAATGTTTTTTTTACTGAATAAAAACTTAAAACTGCAGCGTCTGGATTCTGTCAATTTAGTCCTGACGCCCTCAGCGGGTTAAACCTGTGCCCTCTGTCCTGTGCCCTCTGTCCTCTGCCCTGTGCCCTGTCCTGTGCCCTGTGCCCTCTGCCCTGTGCCCACTGTCCTCTGTCCTGTGCCCTCTGCCCTGTGCCCACTGTCCTCTGTCCTGTGCCCTCTGCCCTGTGCCCACTGTCCTGTGCCCTCTGCCCTGTGCCCACTGTCCTGTGCCCACTGTCCTCTGTCCTGTGCCCTCTGTCCTGTGCCCTCTGCCCTGTGCCCTCTGTCCTATGCCCTCTGTCCTGTGTCCTCTGTCCTGTGCCCACTGTCCTCTGCCCTCTGTCCTGTGCCCACTGTCCTCTGTCCTGTGCCCTCTGTCCTGTGTCCTCTGTCCTGTGCCCTCTGCCCTGTGCCCACTGTCCTGTGTCCTCTGCCCTGTGCCCACTGTCCTGTGCCCACTGTCCTCTGTCCTGTGCCCTCTGTCCTGTGTCCTCTGTCCTGTGCCCTCTGTCCTATGCCCTCTGTCCTGTGTCCTCTGTCCTGTGCCCACTGTCCTCTGTCCTGTGCCCACTGTCCTCTGTCCTGTGCCCTCTGTCCTGTGTCCCTCTGTCCTGTGCCCTCTGCCCTGTGCCCACTGTCCTGTGCCCTCTGTCCTGTGCCCACTGTCCTGTGCCCTCTGTCCTGTGCCCACTGTCCTGTGCCCTCTGTCCCTCTGTCCTGTGCCCTCTGTCCTGTGCCCTGTGCCCACTGTCCTGTGCCTGCCTGTGCCTCTGTCCTGTGCCCTGTCTGTCCCTGTGCCTGCCCTGCCTGTCCTGTGCCCTGTCTGTGCCTCTGTCCTGTGCCCACTGTCCTCTGTCCCGTGTCCCTCTGTCCTGTGCCCACTGTCCTCTGTCCTGTCCCTCTGTGCCTGTGCCTCTGTCCTGTGCCTCTGCCCTGTGCCCACTGTCCTGTGTCCTCTGCCCTGTGCCCACTGTCCTGTGCCCACTGTCCTCTGTCCTGTGCCCTCTGTCCTGTGTCCTCTGTCCTGTGCCCTCTGTCCTGTGCCCTCTGTCCTGTGTCCTCTGTCCTGTGCCCACTGTCCTCTGTCCTGTGCCCTGTCCTGTCTGTGCCTCTGCCTGTGCCCACTGTCCTCTGTGCCCTCCTCTGCCTGTGCCCTGTGCCCTCTGTCCTCTGCCTCTGTCCTGTGCCCTCTGTCCTGTGCCCTCTGCCCTGTGCCCACTGTCCTGTGCCCTCTGTCCTGTGCCCACTGTCCTCTGCCCTGTGCCCTCTGTCCTATGCCCTCTGCCCTGTGCCCACTGTCCTGTGCCCTCTGTCCTGTGCCCACTGTCCTCTGCCCTGTGCCCTCTGTCCTGTGCCCACTGTCCTCTGCCCTGTGCCCTCTGCCCTGTGCCCACTGTCCTGTGTGCCCTGTGCCTGTGCCCACTGTCCTGTGCCCTCTGCCCTGTGCCCACTGTCCTGTGCCCTCTGTCCTGTGCCCTCTGTCCTGTGCCCACTGTCCTCTGCCCTGTGCCCTCTGTCCTGTGCCCTCTGTCCTGTGCCCACTGTCCTCTGTCCTGTGCCCACTGCCCTGTGCCCTCTGCCCTGTGCCCACTGTCCTCTGCCCTCTGTCCCCTGCCCTGTGCCCTCTGTCCTGTGTCCTCTGTCCCCTGTCCTGTGCCTACTGTTCTGTGCCCACTGTCCTGTGCCCTCTGTCCTGTGCCCACTGCCCTGTGCCCTCTGTCCTCTCTCCTGTGCCCTCTGTCCCTCTGTCCTGTGCCTACTGTCCTGTGCCCTCTGTCCTCTGTCCCCTCTCCTGTGCCCACTGTCCTGTGCCCTCTGTCCCCTCTCCTGTGCCCACTGTCCTGTGCCCACTGCCCTGTGCCCTCTGTCCCCTCTCCTGTGCCCACTGTCCTGTGCCCACTGCCCTGTGCCCTCTGTCCTGTGCCCTCTGTCCTGTGCCCACTGTCCTCTGCCCTGTGCCCTCTGTCCTGTCCTCTGTCCCCTGTCCTGTGCCCTGTTCTGTGCCACTGTCCTGTGCCCTCTGTCCTGTGCCCACTGCCCTGTGCCCTCTGTCCTCTCTCCTGTGCCCACTGTCCTGTGCCCTCTGTCCTCTGTCCCTCTCCTCTGTCCCTCTCCTGTGCCCACTGTCCTGTGCCCACTGCCCTGTGCCCTCTGTCCTCTGTCCCCTCTCCTGTGCCCACTGTCCTGTGCCCACTGTCCTGTGCCCACTGTCCTGCGCCCTGTGGCAGAGCGGTTAGTTTGACACTTTAATTTTCCACTTGAGTTGTTCATCATTAATGACGTCACGAGGAGGTTTTAAACATTTGATTCTCGCTGTTGTTGTTTTTGTTTTTGTTTTTCACGCTGCGGCGGAAGGGCGAGTCTCGCGACACTTCCGCGCCACGTCGCCACGTCCCTCCGTGACCTGACGTAACGTGACGTAACGTGACGTGACGTGGAGCCCAAAACAAACCGAAGAGACGAGACCAGCGCCGCACGGACCCGCAGACATGTCCTCCGGGCCCGGCAAGGGGAGCTCCGAGCCCTGGGGCAGCTTCGAGGAGAGCGTCATGCAGGTGAGGAGAGCGTCATGCAGGTGAGGAGAGCGTGATCCAGGTGCGAGCTCCGGACCGGCTAACAGGCTAACAGGCTAACAGGCTAACAGGCTAACAGGCTAACGGGCTAACGGCTAACCCATGTAAACAGAGTGTAATCAGAAAGTCCACACGTCCCTGTTTCCCCGGGACAGTCCCAGTCCAGAGTCTGTGTCTCTGTCCCCGCAGATTTATACAAAACCACTGATTTGTCCCAGTTTTATACAAGAAATGTCCCAGTGTCTCTGTTTTGGACCAATCTGATCCTGCACCAGTAAAGAGAGACATAAACTGACATTTATTTAAGTAAAATACAGAGAAAGATCCTTAAAACACAAAGAAAATGTGACGATGCTGACTCATGTTGGTCATAAATGAACCGTTTTCCTTAATCAGTCGATTCACAGTTTTATTACCAGCCTCCACAAACCGAGTGTCCCAGTGTTTGATTTTGTAAATCTGGTGTCTCTAGACCAGGAGTCTCCAACCTGTCGTCAGGAGCTTCCAGGAGCTTTCCACCCCCTTCCAGAAAGTTCACCAAGGGATTTCAGGATTACACTTATTGTGCTAAATAAGTTAAATTTAATGAATTAAATTAGATTTAACATAAACGGATCATGGTTTATATTTTTAGGCGTCTCACTGTTCCATCTGCATCTGACACAGTGAAGGAGCATGGGAGGGCATCTGACGTGTTTGTGTTGTGTTATTAATGTGTTTGTTTTTGTGTTGTGTGTTTGTGTTGTGTTGTTAACGTGTTTGTGTCGTGTTTGTGTCGTGTTTGTGTCGTGTTTGTGTTGTGTTTGTGTTGTGTTTGTGTTGTGTTTGTGTTGTGTTTGTTTTTGTGTTGTGTTGTTAACGTGTTTGTGTTTGTGTCGTGTTTGTGTGTCCAGGGCGGGGGCTCGGCCGTCATCGACATGGAGAACATGGACGACACTTCGGGCTCCAGTTTCGAGGACATGGGCGAGATCCACCAGAGGCTGAAGGACGAGGAGGAGAACCCAGAACCAGACCCAGAACCGGACCAGGACCAGGACTTCCTGAAGGGCTTCAAAGGTCAGCTGGGCCGGCAGGTCGCAGACGAGGTACGACTCGATACCAATTCTGATCACACGATGATGAAAACCCTCTTTGTTTAGACGAGCTCCTGTGAGTTTGATTTGTTCTGATTCAGATCCAGATCGTTTTAAACACATTCAGGTTCTAAAGGTTCTGAAGGTTCTGCCAATGTGACTTCTTATGGTTCCAGACCTGAGAAAAATGAGAAGCGAGTTTTAGTATCGATAAGGATCTGATTTTTGATCTTTCTGTTGTGCACACACTGAGCCTCATGTTTGATAAAAACACAGATCTGACTTGTGTCCGTCGGCAGGGCTCGCACACACACAGATCTGACTCGTGTCTGTCGGCAGGGCTCGCACACACACAGATCTGACTCGTGTCTGTCGGCAAGGCTCGCACACACACAGATCTGACTTGTCTCTGTCGGCAGGTGTGGGAGGCGGGGAAGCGTCAGGCGTCGAAGGCATTTAATCTTTACGCCAACATCGACATCCTGAGGCCGTACTTCGACGTGGAACCGGGACAAGTCCGGACCAGGTCAGTCCCGAGTCCAGCACAGAGTCCTGGTCTAGTCCTGGTCTAGTCCTGGTCTAGTCCTGGTCTAGTCCTGGTCTAGTCCTGGTCTAAATCTGGTCTAAATCTGGTCTCTGTCCACAGGTTGCTGGAGTCCCTGATCCCTGTGCGGATGGTCAGCTTCCCCCAGGTACAAGTCATGAGGTCACACTCGAGGTCACGGGTCACACTCAGGGTCATAGTTCAACTTCAAATTCAAATTATTTTTGTGACTTTCTAAATCATTATGTAAATGAACATGTAAATACATATATGCATATGTAAATGAGCACATGAATATGTAAATGAGATGTGAATATGTAAATGTGTTTCAGAAAATCGCGGGCGAGCTGTACGGGCCTCTGATGCTCGTCTTCACTTTAGTCGCCATTTTACTGCAGGGAATGAAAACGTCCAACACACAGATCGTAAGAACACAACACAACGCACAACGACCACACACCTAAACAATGACCACACGACCACACAACGACACACACAACGACCACACAACTACACAACGACCAACACACAGATCATAAGAACACAACACAACGCACAACGACAACACAACGACAACACAACGACAACACAACGACAACACAACGTCCAACACAACGTCCAACACAACGTCCAACACAACGTCCAACACAACGTCCAACACAACGACCAACACACAGACTGTAAGAACACAACGCACCACGACCACACACCTAAACAATGACCACACGACAACAACAACGACAAGACAATGACCACACAACCACAACAACAACACAACTACTACAACAACACAACATCAACATGCCGAAACACACCACAACACGCCAACACAACAACAACACAATGACAACACACTGATTTTATTATTATTGTAGAACACGTGTGTTTGTGCGTTATTCCTGTGTGTGTCTCTGTGTGTGTTGTTGTTCTTGTGTGTGTGTCTGTGTCTGTGTGTGTGCGTGTTGTTGTTCATGTGTGTTTGTGATTGTGCGTTATTCCTGTGTGTGTCTCTGTGTGTGTTGTTGTTCTTGTGTGTGTGTGTGCGTCTCTGTGTGTGTTGTTGTTCTTGTGTGTGTGTGTGCGTCTCTGTGTGTGTTGTTGTTCTTGTGTGTGTGTGTCTGTGTCTGTGTGTGTGCGTGTTGTTGTTCATGTGTGTGTTTGTGCGTTATTCCTGTGTGTGTCTCTGTGTGTGTTGTTGTTCTTGTGTTTGTGCATATGTGTGTTGTTGTTCACGTGTGTGTGTGTGTGTGTGTGTCTGTGTGTGTTGTTGTTCTTGTGTGTGTGTGTGTCTGTGTTGTTGTTCTTGTGTGTGTGTTTGTGTGTGTGTGTGTCTCTGTGTGTTTGTGTGTGTGTGTGTCTCTGTGTGTGTTGTTGTTCTTGTGTGTGTGTGTCTGTGTGTGTTGTTGTTCTTGTGTGTGTGTGTCTGTGTGTGCGTTGTTGTTCATGTGTGTGTGTTTGTGTGTTGTTGTTCTTGTGTGTGTGTGTCTCTCTGTGTGTGTTGTTGTTCTTGTGTGTGTGTGTCTCTGTGTGTGTTGTTGTTCTTGTGTGTGTCTGTGTGCGTTGTTGTTCATGTGTGTGTGTTTGTGTGTTGTTGTTCTTTGTGTGTGTCTGTGTGTGTGTTGTTGTTCTTGTGTGTGTGTGTGTGTGTGTGTGTCTGTGTGTGTGTTGTTCTGTGTGTGTTCTGTGTGTGTTGTTGTTCTTGTGTGTGTGTGTGTGTGTTGTTGTTGTGTGTGTCTGTGTGTGTTGTTGTTCTTGTGTGTGTGTGTGTCTGTGTGTTCGTTGTTGTTCACGTGTGTGTGTGTGTGTTGTGTTGTTGTTGTGTGTGTCTGTGTGTGTTGTTGTTCTTGTGTGTGTGTGTGTGTGTGTGTGTGTGTGTGTGTGTGTTGTGTGTTGTTGTTCTGTGTGTGTTGTGTGTTGTGTGTGTGTGTGTGTGTGTTGTTGTTCTTGTGTGTGTGTGTGTGTCTGTGTGTGTTGTTGTTCTTGTGTGTGTGTGTGTGTGTGTCTGTGTGTGTTGTTGTTCTTGTGTGTGTGTGTGTCTGTGTGTGTTGTTGTTCTTGTGTGTGTGTGTGTCTGTGTGTTGTTGTTCTTGTGTGTGTCTGTGTGTGTTGTTGTTCTTGTGTGTGTGTGTGTCTGTGTGTGTGTTGTTGTTCACGTGTGTGTCTGTGTGTGTGTGTGTGTTCTTGTGTGTGTGTCTGTGTGTGTTGTTGTTCTTGTGTGTGTGTCTGTGTGTGTTGTTGTTCACGTGTGTGTGTGTGTCTGTGTGTGTGTTGTTGTTCACGTGTGTGTGTTGTGTGTGTGTTACAGATCGGGGGCACACTGATGGGCACGGCCATCGGCACATGTTTCGGTTACTGGTTGTGTGTGTCTGGGCTCGTGTATTTTTTGGCGTATCTGGTGAACGCTCAGATCACGATGCTGCAGACGCTCGCGCTGCTCGTGAGTCACACCCACACCGCACTTTTACTACAACTTTTACTTATACACGGAAATTATACAGATAATACACAGATAATACACAGAAAATACACAGATAATACACAGAAAATACACAGAAATTATACAGATAATACACAGATAATACACAGATAATACACAGAAAATACAGATACAGATATTACACAGAAAATACACAGATATTACACAGAAAATACACAGATATTACACAGAAAATACACAGATATTACACAGATTAATTTTGTCTTTTATTTAGTTTGTCGTTTCCGTGTCGTTTCCAGGGTTACGGTTTGTTCGGTCACTGCATCGTGCTCTTCGTCACCTACAACATTCACTTCCACTTCCTCTTCTTCTTCCTCTGGATCCTCATCGGAGGAATGTCCACCCTGCGCATGGTGAGTCCAGACCGGGCTCAGACCGGGCTCAGACCGGGCTCAGACCGGGCTCAGACCGGGCTCAGACCGGGCTCAGACCGGGTTGAGACCGGGTTCAGACCGGGTTCAGACCGGGTTCAGACAGGGTTCAGACCGGGTTCAGACCGGGTTGAGACCGGGTTCAGACCTCTGTGCTGTGTGCAGGTGCTGGTTCTGGTCTCTCGGACCGTGGGTCAGACTCCTCGGTTGGTTCTGTGTGGTTCTGTGGCGGCGCTTCACCTTCTGTTCCTGCTCTACCTGCACTTCTCCTACCACAGCATCGTACAGGGTCAGTGACACCTGACACCCTCCTGACACGCTCCTGCCACACACCTGCCACACACCTGTCAGATGTCCTCCCTGTGTGTCAGATTAAGTCAGATGCCCTTCCTCTGTCCTCAGGTTTGATGGAGACTCTGGAAAATGGGAATCACTTTGAGCCGATGCAGCGAGTCGCTCGAGACGTGTCCCAGATCACACTCAACGCCACCGCGATGGCCCTGTCACACTGAGCGCCTGACCGCACCTGTCCCCCTGACTGCACCTGTCCACCTGACCGCACCTGACCGCACCTGACCGCACCTGTCCCCCTGACTACACCTGTCCCCTGTCTTTAAAGGTTGGTTTAGTCCAGAGCTCACCCTGACACAGACCTGATCCATATGAGCTGATCAGAGCCCAGCTGCGTTCTGATCGGCTGTCGGGTGTGTGGAGCATTCTGATTGGCTGTTGGGTGTTTAGAGTGTTTTGATTGGCTGTCGGGTGTGTGGAACGCTCTGATTGGCTGTCGGAGGCAGGGCTGTGTGCTGATTGGACACTGAAGCAGCCTTTAAAAGAGACTTTACAAAAAGAAAAAAAAAAGTGACTTCTGTTCTGGACTTTTGGGGTAAATTGTGTTTTTCTTTAGTTTCTGTAAAATGTCGTTTGTTTTTGGTGATTTTTATCAAATAAAGTGAACTTCATTGTGATTGGTCCATTTCTCTCCAAATCTCAGACTACGACTCCCATGATGCACTAGGGCCAGAGCACTGAACTACAGCTCCCATGATGCACTGGGAGACAGGCGCTGTTATTAAAGGCCTGTGTGTGTGCGTGTGTGTTTCCTGATCACTGTCTGATTATTGATCATGAACAAACTCCACCTCCCGGGATTCTGACCCGACTCCTGTTCCTTACACAGACCTGACTCATGGACCTGACTCGTGCTCCTCTGACAAATAAAGGACGTTATTCATCGTCTTTTTACAATTTTTTATTATTTTTTATGTTGAACATTCTCAATATTTCAAAAAAACTCCAACACTTCAGAAACACAGATCCACTGGATTCTCCGTCACAGACCTGAGGAAGAGACGAACTGTTAGACCTGGTTTAGTCCTGGTTTAGTTCTGGTTTAGTCCTAGTTTAGTCCTGGTTTAGTTCTGGTTTAGTCCTAGTTTAGTCCTGGTTTAGTCCAATGTTAATCTTGGTTTAATTCATGTTTAGTCCTTGTTTTAGTCCAGGGTCAGTCCTAAATTAGTCCTGGTTTGGTCCTGGGTTAGTCCTGGTTCTGGTCTCACCTCAGACCATCTGGTACTGGTTTGTGTTGATGAATCTGGACAGACAACAGGCCACAGTGGTTCCGATCAGCTGCAAAAACAAAAGCATGTTTATCTGCGTCTGTCTGTAGTTCTGCTTGTGGCCTGTAGGGGGAGTACAGAGCTGCTGTAGTTCTGCCTTTGGCCTGTAGGGGGAGTACAGAGCTGCTGTAGTTCTGCCCTTGGCCTGTAGGGGTAGTACAGAGCTGCTGTAGTTCTGCCTTTGGCCTGTAGGGGGCAGTACCTGAGAGAAGGCGATGCCGAATGTGACACCGGCGATGATTCCGAGGTTTGTGTCGAAGAACGACGTCACCAGTTCGAAACAGCCCTGAGACACACAAACGTTTATAAAGATACGACAGCAAAGTCACGCCAGGGGTGTTCTGCATGTGTGTCTATGACCGAATGTTCAGCGGTTACCATGGAAACACAACACACACGTCAGCAAACACAAAAAAAAAGTGTAAAGGACGGGGGTCATACAGGAGACCTGGGTTAGTCCTGGTTTAGAGTCAGGGAGTTGTGGGTTCGATTACCCGTACAGGTGCAGAGTGAGGAGGTTGAGGGTTCGATTACCCGTACAGGTGCAGAGTGAGGAGGTTGAGGGTTCGATTACCCGTACAGGTGCAGAGTGAGGAGGTTGAGGGTTCGATTACCCGTACAGGTGCAGAGTGAGGAGGTTGAGGGTTCGATTACCCGTACAGGTGCAGAGTGAGGAGGTTGAGGGTTCGATTACCTGGCTGAACACTTTGGCGGCGGCTTGTGAGGCGTTACGGAGATCGTCTCGGTTACAGTCGTGGATTTGGACGCAGCAGGAGCCCGGGACTCCTCCGACCGGGAAGTACGAGCTGTGCAGCCAACTGCTGAAGTTTGACACGCCACAGCACTGCAACTGCAATACACAAGAATGAGTACTACAAGTACTACAAATACTACAAATATATACCAAGACACAAGTATGAGTACTACAAAAATACAAATATACACCAGGACAAGTACGAGTACTACAAATGTGCACATGTAGTAGTAGTAATAGTAGTGGTAGCAGTAGTAATAATAATAGTAGTAGTAGTAGTAGTAGAAGTACTTGTACCTTCCTCTGGATGTCGTCGACCGCGAGGCTGCGTTCATCCAGACCGTTGTATTTTTGAACAGCTTCAGAAAAAGAGCTCAAAAAACTTCCTCTAATCTGAAACACACAAACTGACTGTAGTACTGCACATACTGTAGTACTGTAGTACTGTAGTACTGTAGTACTGTATAAAGGTACTTGACTGTTGGAGACAAACCTCGTGACGAAAAATAAAACCCCAGATTCCAGCGATGAGTTCAGTGAGAAACACGATCGACAGCAGCACAGCGTACTGAAGAACAGAGACCGGGTTTAGACCGGGTTTAGACCGGGTTCGGACCTGGTTCGGACCTGGTTCGGACCTGGTTTGGACCTGGTCTGGACCTGGTTTGGACCTGGTTCAGACCTGGTCTGGACCTGGTTTGGACCTGGTTCGGACCTGGTTTAGACGTGGTTTAGGGCTTGTCGTGCACTGACCATGCGCAGCATCCAGCAGCGCCCCCTGCAGGTGGCCCAGCAGCCGAACAGCGACAGCAGCACGATCCCGGCGCCGGTGCCCGACAACACGAAGGGGACAGCAGAGGGCGCCCTGGAGATCAGCACCGAGTACGGACCGAGCATCAAGATCCACCACAGCCCCACGGACAACAGCACCACCCCCGACACCTGGAGATACAACACCACACATGAACACCACCGTCCACCTGGAGATACACCACCATCCACCTGGAGATACACCACCACCCACCTGGAGATACACCACCATCCACCTGGAGATACACCACCACCATCCACCATCCACCTGGAGATACACCACCATCCACCTGGAGATACACCACCATCCACCTGGAGATACACCACCATCCACCTGGAGATACACCACCATCCACCTGGAGATACACCTACACCTCCATCCACCTGGAGATACACCACCATCCACCTGGAGATACACCACCATCCACCTGGAGATACACCTACACCACACATGAACACCACCATCCACCTGGAGATACACCTACACACACACATGAACACCACCATCCACCTGGAGATACACCACCACCATCCACCACCATCCACCTGGAGATACACCACCACATCCACCTGGAGATACACCACCATCCACCTGGAGATACACCACCATCCACCTGGAGATACACCTACACCACACATGAACACCACCATCCACCTGGAGATACACCACCACCATCCACCATCCACCTGGAGATACACCACCATCCACCTGGAGATACACCACCACACACATGAACACCACCGTCCACCTGGAGATACACCACCACACATGAACACCACCATCCACCTGGAGATACACCACCACCACCATGAACACCACCATCCACCTGGAGATACACCACCATCCACCTGGAGATACACCACCACACATGAACACCACCATCCACCTGGAGATACACCACCACCATCCACCATCCACCTGGAGATACACCACCATCCACCTGGAGATACAACCACCATCCACCTGGAGATACACCACCACCACCTGGAGATACACACCATGGAGATACACCACCATCCACCTGGAGATACACCACCATCCACCTGGAGATACACCACCACACCATCCACCTGGAGATACACCACCATCCACCTGGAGATACACCACCCACACACCATCCACCACCACCACCACCTGGAGATAAACCACCTCCACCTGGAATAAACCACCATCCACCTGGAACGTTTGTGGACTTGCAAAGTTTGTGACTTTTAAAATATGGATTCACAAAATAAAAGTTTAGGAAACACTGAACTTGAGGCGAGATTTGACCAAAAACCAGACGGAGATTTGGATTTTCAGATCTGAAGCCGCAGGAGTCACTCTGAGTGTCAACAGATTTTAAAATCATTGATCAGAAGAGAAATCAAAACCAGAAGAAAAAAATCCCCAGACAAATCACACCCTGAATATCGAAAAAACAAACTCCAGAAAAAACAAAAAACAAATTCAGAACAAAAAAACTAACTCTAGAACAAAAAAAAAAAAAAACTCCAGAACAAAAAACAAACTCCAGAAAAAAAAACAAACTCCAGAAAAAACAAAAAACAAATTCAGAACAAAAAAACTAACTCTAGAACAAAAAAAACAAACAAACTCCAGAAAAAACAAAAAACAAACTCCAGAAAAAAACAAACTCCAGAACAAAAAACAAACTCCAGAACCAAAACAACATTTTATAAAGTTCACGACACTTGATGTGAGTTTATCTGTATTTTCTGTTCCAGAGTGAAGCTCCACTCGCCCCAAACGTCAGAACCTCTCGAAACACCTGCTGCTACGGTCACATGACTCGGGTCACATGACTCGAGGTCACATGACTCGGGTCACATGACTCGGGTCACATGACTCACATGACTCGGGTCACATGACTCGTGTCACATGACTCGAGGTCACATGACTCGTGTCACATGACTCGGGGGTCACATGACTCGGGGGTCACATGACTCGTGTCACATGACTCGGGGTCACACGGTGCGAGCTGCCTCCAAACTGTAAAAGCTCGACAAACACAAAACAAACTTGTGACGCGCTAAAGTGTGTGTAGAAGAAACTCACCCAGAAGATGAAGGAGTAAACCAGGAGGAGACTTTTGAGGCAGAAGATCAGGGGTTTGGTGTGGAAGTGTCTGCGAGACATTGCTCCAAACGTCTCAAAAGAGCCCGATTGTTACTGGTGCTTCTTCTCTCTTCTCCTCCACACACACCAGGCCAGTTCTTCTGAAAGTCCAGACTGCTCCTAAAGCCCAAAGCCTCAGATCTGCTGAAGGTTCTGGGTGTGAGAGCAGCTGGTCTCCTCCTCCCTCCTGAGTCACAGTGAAAAACAATTATCACGTCTACGACAAAATGTGGCACCAGAGCCCTGCAAACAGGGAGTCTGGTTTAGTCCTGGTTTAGACCTGGTTTAGTCCTGGTTTAGTCCTGGTTTAGACCTGGTTTAGTCCTGGTTTGGTCCTGGTTTAGTCCTGGTTTAGACCTGGTTTAGACCTGGTTTAGTCCTGGTTTAGTCCTGGTTTAGTTCTGGTTTAGACCTGGTTTAGACCTGGTTTAGTCCTGGTTTAGACCTGGTTTAGTCCTGGTTTAGTTCCTGGTTTAGTCCTGGTTTAGTGGTTTAGACCTGGTTTAGTTTTTAGTCCTGGTTTAGTCCTGGTTTAGTCCTGGTTTAGTCCTGGTTTAGTCCTGGTTTAGACCTGGTTTAGTCCTGGTTTAGTCCTGGTTTAGACCTGGTTTAGACCTGGTTTAGTCCTGGTTTAGTCCTGGTTTAGACCTGGTTTAGTCCTGGTTTAGTCCTGGTTTAGACCTGGTTTAGTCCTGGTTTAGTTCTGGTTTTAGTCCTGGTTTAGTCCTGGTTTAGACCTGGTTTAGTCCTGGTTTAGTCCTGGTTTAGACCTGGTTTAGTCCTGGTTTAGTTCCTGGTTTAGACCTGGTTTAGTCCTGGTTTAGTCCTGGTTTAGTCCTGGTTTAGACCTGGTTTAGTCCTGGTTTAGTCCTGGTTTAGTCCTGGTTTAGTCCTGGTTTAGACCTGGTTTAGACCTGGTTTAGTGGTTTAGTCCTGGTTTAGTCCTGGTTTAGAGTCCTGGTTTAGTCCTGGTTTAGTCCTGGTTTAGACCTGGTTTAGTCCTGGTTTAGGGTCCTGGTTTAGACCTGGTTTAGTCCTGGTTTAGTTCCTGGTTTAGACCTGGTTTAGTTTAGTCCTGGTTTAGTCCTGGTTTAGTCCTGGTTTAGACCTGGTTTAGTCCTGGTTTAGTCCTGGTTTAGTCCTGGTTTAGTCCTGGTTTAGACCTGGTTTAGACCTGGTTTCCTGGTTTAGTTCTGGTTTAGACCTGGTTTAGTCCTGGTTTAGTTCCTGGTTTAGACCTGGTTTAGTCCTGGTTTAGTCCTGGTTTAGACCTGGTTTAGTCCTGGTTTAGTTCCTGGTTTAGACCTGGTTTAGTCCTGGTTTAGACCTGGTTTAGTTCCTGGTTTAGTCCTGGTTTAGACCTGGTTTAGTCTGGTTTAGTCTGGTTTAGACCTGGTTTAGTCCTGGTTTAGTCCTGGTTTAGTCCTGGTTTAGTCCTGGTTTAGACCTGGTTTAGTCCTGGTTTAGTCCTGGTTTAGTCCTGGTTTAACCTGGTTTAGTCCTGGTTTAGTTCTGGTTTAGACCTGGTTTAGTCCTGGTTTAGTCCTGGTTTAGACCTGGTTTAGTCCTGGTTTAGAACCTGGTTTAGTCCTGGTTTAGTCCTGGTTTTAGTCCTGGTTTTAGACCTGGTTTAGTCCTGGTTTAGTCCTGGTTTAGTCCTGGTTTAGACCTGGTTTAGTCCTGGTTTAGTTTTAGTCCTGGTTTAGTCCTGGTTTAGGTTTAGACCTGGTTTAGTCCTGGTTTTAGACCTGGTTTAGTCCTGGTTTAGACCTGGTTTAGTCCTGGTTTAGTTCCTGGTTTAGACCTGGTTTAGTCCTGGTTTAGTCCTGGTTTAGTCCTGGTTTAGTCCTGGTTTAGAGTCCTGGTTTAGACCTGGTTTAGACTCCTGGTTTAGTCCTCCTGGTTTAGTCCTGGTTTAGTAGTCCTGGTTTAGACCTGGTTTAGTCTGGTTTAGTCCTGGTTTAGTTCCTGGTTTAGTTTTTAGTCCTGGTTTAGACCTGGTTTAGACCTGGTTTAGACCTGGTTTAGTCCTGGTTTAGTTCTGGTTTAGACCTGGTTTAGTCCTGGTTTAGTCCTGGTTTAGTCCTGGTTTAGTTCCTGGTTTAGACCTGGTTTAGACCTCCTGGTTTAGTCCTGGTTTAGTCCTGGTTTAGTCCTCTTAGGTTTAGACCTGGTTTAGTCCTGGTTTAGTCCTGGTTTAGGGTTCCTGGTTTAGTCCTGGTTTAGTCCTGGTTTAGTCCTGGTTTAGTCCTGGTTTAGTGGTGGTTTAGACCTGGTTTAGTCCTGGTTTAGTCCTGGTTTTAGTCCTGGTTTAGACCTGGTTTAGTCCTGGTTTAGTCTGGTTTAGTCCTGGTTTAGTCCTGGTTTAGTTCCTGGTTTAGACCTGGTTTAGTCCTGGTTTAGTTCCTGGTTTAGTCCTGGTTTAGACCTGGTTTAGTCCTGGTTTAGTTCTGGTTTAGTCCTGGTTTAGTCCTGGTTTTAGTTCCTGGTTTAGTCCTGGTTTAGACCTGGTTTAGACCTGGTTTAGTCCTGGTTTAGTCCTGGTTTAGTCCTGGTTTAGTCCTGGGTTTAGTGGTTTACCTGGTTTAGTCCTGGTTTAGTCCTGGTTTAGACCTGGTTTAGTCCTGGTTTAGTCCTGGTTTAGTCCTGGTTTAGTCCTGGTTTAGACCTGGTTTAGTCCTGGTTTAGTCCTGGTTTAGTCCTGGTTTAGTCTCATAAAAAGAAGCGTGACATTTGTTGTTCAGATTTTTTATTTGAGATTTTCTGAAGTAAAAATAAAATTGACACAAACACTGCAGGTTTGAGAAATTCACAATTAGTTACAGCAAAGTACATGAGTATTCAGAGTATTACAGTATAAAGTACTCGAGTATTCAGAGAGTATTAGAGTATAAAGTATTTGAGTATTCAGAGAGTATTAGAGTATAAAGTATTTGAGTATTCAGAGAGTATTAGAGTATAAAGTATTTGAGTATTCAGAGAGTATTAGAGTATAAAGTATTTGAGTATTCAGAGAGTATTAGAGTATAAAGTACTCGAGTATTCAGAGAGTATGGGGGGGGGGTTCTGCACCTGAACAACGAGTGAGAAAGAAAATGAATTAAAAAATAAAATAAACGTGAGTCTGAAATCAACAGACGTGTTTGGATCCTTTTAGATTATAAATGTGTCGATATCAACAAATCAATATATATATATCAGTATATATGGGGGGGGGGGCTGTGCGTTTAGTCCTGGTTTAGTCCAGGTTTAGTCCAGGTTTAGTCCAGGTTTAGTCCCGGTCTGGTTCTGGCCTGGCTCAGATCAGTACGGCCCAGGGTTTGTAGGTCCCAGGTTCAGCTGCAGGACACTGAGGACAGAAGAGCAGGATCAGACCCGGTCCAGACCCGGTCCAGACCCGGTCCAGACCCGGTCCAGACCCGGTCCAGACCCGGTTATGTGCACATATAATGATGTCATACCATGGCGGTGAAGCGGTCGGCACACGCCGTGCGGATTCTTTCTGCTGTGGCCGGACTGTCCAATCGGAAGGGGCCGCTCAGCCCCGCCTCCAAACGCGCCGCGGCGATGGCGTCTTTCAGCGCAAAGAACACGGACGCGGCGAGAAACAACGGCGGCTCCCCCACCGCCTGAAACACCAACACGAACTGGATCAGACCAGGTCCAGTCCCGGTCCAGTCCCGGTCCAGTCCCGGTCCGTCCCGGTCAGTCCCGGTCCAGTCCGGTCCAGTCCCGTTCCAGTCCCGGTCCAGTCCCGGTCCAGTCCTAGTTTAGTCCAGTTTACTCCTGGTATAATCCTGGTCCAGTCCTAGTTTAGTCCCGGTCCAGACCTTGGAGGAGTACAGGGCCTTGGCGTTGGGGGCGTCCCGCAGCAGAGACACCTGCAGGTGGGTGGGGATGTCTCCAAACCCTGGGATCTTGTAGGTTCCTGGTCCTCGGGTCAGAAGAACCCCGTCTGGACTGTAGAGGAGCTGCTCCAGAGTGAAGAGGCCCACACCCTGAACGAACGCCCCCTCCACCTGTAAACAACATATATATATATATATATATATATATATATATATATATATATATATATATATATATATATATATATATATATATATATATATATATATATATATATATATATATATATATATATATATATATATATATATATATATATATACACACACACACACACACACACACACAACATATATATAACATGTATATAACATGTATAAATATATATATATACAACAAATATATATAAAACATATAACATGTATGAGGTCACACTGCAGCCCCTGCGGGTCAGAGGTCAGAGGTCAGAGGTCAGGTGTACCTGTCCGATGTCGATGGCGGGGTTCAGGCTGTTCCCGACGTCCATCACGATGGTAGTGCACAGATTCTGCACAAACACAAACAAACATGAAGAACCAGAAGGAACCAGCTCAGAGGTCAGAGGTCAGGGGTCAGGGGTCAGGGGTCAGGGGTCAGACCTGGTGCGTCCCGGTCAGACAGTCGATCTCCACTTCGCTGCAGCAGACGCCGTAGGAGAAATAGTTAACGAGGCGCTCCGTGCGTGATTCGCGTGTGCGTGGGAGAAAAGAGCACTACTGCGCATCTCGACGGGCACCGGAAGTCGTAGGCTAGGGATCATGCGAGATCTTGGAGTCCTGGGGGCTTGGGTCAGAACAGATCTCCACTTCGCTGCAGCAGACGCCGTACTCGAGAGTTCGTCTGAGAGCGACGGAGTTTACTTCAGGAGGGGTCAGAGGTCAGAGGTCAGAGGGTCAGAGGGTCAGAGGTCAGAGGTTAGTTTGGTCTGAACAAATAATATATTGAAATAAATGATGGGAAAACCAAATGGACCTCACTGGATTTAAAGTGTTTTGTTTTTTTTTGCAATATAATTAACAGATGAAATAAAATAAACCCCCTGACCCCTGACCTCTGACCCGTAATCCCTTAACTCCCTGACCCCTTCAACCCTCTGATCCCTGACCTCTGACCTCTGACCCCTAAGTCATTTCTTCCTGGTATCTGATTTTTGAGACTCTGACCTGTAGAAGCCGTTGGCGCTCAGATTGACTCTGTCAAAGTACGCCGCCTTCACCTGCAACAAGACCAAGTCCCAGTTTAGTCCCAGTTTAGTCCCGGTTTAGTCCCGGTTTAGTCCTGGTTCAGTCCTGGTTTAGTCCTGGTTCAGTCCTGGTCCTGGTCCTGGTCCGTACCCAGCTCTCCCAGGTCCCGGTGGGGTCTCGGTCCTTGTAGGTCTGGAGTCTTTGGTTCAGGGCGTCGCAGGCGTTGAGGATCGCGGCGCCGTTCAGGTCGGAGGAGACGGACGCCGCCGTGGGACTCGTGTTCGCCACAGACGCAGAACTCGTCTCGCAAACGTGGATCTTTGAGACGGGAATTCCCAACGCCCGACTGCACACCTGCGGAGAGAGAGACCGGACCTGAGACCTGACCTGAGACCTCAGACCTCAGACCAGACCTCAGACCTGAGACCTGACCTGAGACCTGACCTGAGACCTCAGACCAGACCTCAGACCTCAGACCTGAGACCTGAGACCTGAGACCTGAGACCTGAAACCTGAGACCTCAGACCAGACCTGAGACCTCAGACCTCAGACCTCAGACCAGATCTGAGACCTGAGACCTGAGACCCCAACCCAACAACCAATGCCCAACAGCCGACCACACACCTGTGGAGAGAAAAACCTGAGACTGGACCAGGACCCTTTCTGATGAGTGAAGCTGCTCAGGATGTTTCAGCTCCTCCACTGTCTCCTGGAACACTGACCACCTGTCAGGCAGGTGCCAGTACGTGCGACAGGGAGCACCCTGTCTGATACTGTGGGCAGTGATGTAGGAGTCCCTCAGGTCACAGTCCTGTCTCCGTTTCTGTTCACTCTGGTCACTTCAGATTTCACTACAGCTCCAAGTCCTGCACCTGCAGAAGCTCTGGGGACTCTGCAGTGGCAGGACAGGTGCAGGGGCAGGTGCTGGGACAGGTGCAGGGGCAGGTGCTGGGGCAGGTGCAGGGGCAGGTGCAGGGGCAGGTGCTGGGGCAGGAGCTTTTTTTGCTGCTTATTTAGAATTTATGATCACATTTATCTTTGACTCTGTGTTTTTATTTTCTTTTGTGATTGAGACTCTGTGAACAAAACATTTCCCTGTGGATCAATAAAGTTTGATTCAGTGTAAGTCTGATCCTGATCTGATCCTGGTCTGATCCTGATCTGATCCTGGTCTGATCCTGATCTGATCCTGGTCTGGTCCTGGTCTGGTCCTGGTCTCACCTGAATCATCTTGGTGTGGAGTCCTTGGCCCATCTCAGTTCCTCCGTGAGCCAAAAGAACCGAACCGTCAGTGTAAATGTGGACCAGAGCTCCAGCCTGAAACAGAACCAGACCTGGACTTAGACCGGGACTAGACCTGGGCTAGACCAGGACTAGACCTCGACGAGATACAGAAGAGTCCAGACCTGGTTGAGGAAGGCGGCGTTGAAGGCGATACCGAACTTGGTGGGGATCACAGCGATGCCTCGTTTGGTCCAACGGTTCTGCCTGAGACCAGAACACACCGGGTCAGTCCAAACAAGACCAGAGTCCAGACCAGAGTCCAGACCAGAGACCAGACCAGAGTCCAGACCAGACTCCAGACCAGAGTCCAGACCAGAGAGCCTCATACAGACTCGTACTACTAACTGTAAGGAGGGTTTGAACAGGGCCCAGGAGAGATCTCTAGATTACTCAAACATGGACAACTCTAAAACCTTTTCCCAAGAAGAACCAGACAAGAGACCAGACTCAGTACCTGCTTTAGTCCTCGGTCTGGGCCTGGATCTGGACCGGGTCAGTACCTGTTGTAGTCCTCGGTCTGGGCCTGGATCTGGACCGGGTCAGTACCTGTTGTAGTCCTCGGTCTGGACCTGGATCTGGGCCAGCTCAGTACCTGTTGTAGTCCTGGATCTGGGCCCGTCTCTCGTAGAACTTGGCCCGGTCCAAACACTCGTCCCAGCAGCGCCGCAGGGTGAAGTTCTCCAGGGCCTGGTTAAACGGCGTCAGGTCCCCCTCAGAGTACAGGTTCAAGTCCCGGATCTAAACCAGACCAGAGCAGATCAGAACCAGGACTAAACCAGGACTAAACCCTGTCTAAACCCGGTCTAAACTCGGTGTAGACCCGGACCTCCTCGGGTGCTCTCCCGAGCTTCATGGCGATGGCGCTGATCCAGTCCTCACAGACCATCATTCCCTGCGGCGCTCCGAAGCCTCGGAACGCCGTGTTGGACGGGAGGTTTGTGCGACACATGAAGCCACGACCGCGAACGTTCGGGACCAGGTACGAGTTCTCCAGGTGCAACAGAGCGCGCTCCATCACCTGCACCAATCAGAGACAAGGAGAGGAGAGCAGGACCAATCAGAGAGGAGGTCTGGGGTTTGTGTCCAGGTCTGGGTCTGGGTCTGAGTCTGAGTCTGAGTCTGAGTCTGGTCTGGGTCTGAGTCTGAGTCTGGGTCTGGGTCTGAGTCTGGGTCTGGGTCTGGGTCTGAGTCTGGGTCTGGGTCTGAGTCTGGGTCTGGGTCTGGGTCTGAGTCTGGTCTGGGTCTGGTCTGAGTCTGGGTCTGAGTCTGGGTCTGGGTCTGAGTCTGAGTCTGGGTCTGAGTCTGGGTCTGGGTCTGGACTCACAGACGAGGACAGGTCCAGGGAGTTCCCGCAGTTGCTGTAGAACGTCACATCCAGGGCCTGGACCCGCCCGGACTCAGAGAACCCGACCTGAAACCGGAGCAGATCCGGGGTGAGACCGTGTTTCCCAGAGTGCACCTGTGGGCGGGGCCGACCTCTGACCTCTCACCTTATATTTGGCGTAAAACGGGTGTCGTCCTCCGCTCACCAACATGTCCTCGTCTCTGTCCAACATGCACCGCACCGGACGCCTCAGCCTGCAACGAGACCGGTTACAATCCACCTGGAACCACTCAGAAACAGAGACCAGACCAGAGACCAGAGACCAGAGACCAGAGACCAGAGACCAGAGACCAGAGACCAGAGACCAGAGACCAGAGACCAGAGACCAGAGACCAGAGACCAGAGACCAGAGACCAGAGACCAGAGACCAGAGACCAGAGACCAGAGACCAGAGACCAGAGACCAGAGACCAGAGACCAGAGACCAGACCAGACCAGAGACCAGAGACCAGAGACCAGAGACCAGAGACCAGAGACCAGAGACCAGAGACCAGAGAGAGACCAGAGACCAGAGACCAGAGACCAGAGACCAGAGACCAGAGACCAGAGACCAGAGACCAGAGACCAGAGACCAGAGACCAGAGACCAGAGACCAGAGACCAGAGACCAGAGACCAGAGACCAGAGACCAGAGACCAGAGAAGAGAGACCAGAGACCAGAGACCAGAGCAGAGACCAGAGACCAGAGACCAGAGACCAGAGACCAGAGACCAGAGACCAGAGACCAGAGACCAGAGAGACCAGAGACCAGAGACCAGAGACCAGAGACCAGAGACCAGAGACCAGAGACCAGAGACCAGAGACCAGAGACCAGAGACCAGAGACCAGACCAGAGACCAGACCAGAGGCCAGAGACCAGAGACCAGAGCAGAGACCAGACCAGAGACCAGACCAGACCAGAGACCAGAGACCAGAGTCCAGACCAGAGACCAGAGACCTCCAGGACCCCAGGCTCAGCCCAAAGGAGCGACATGGGGCCGTTCTCCTGTGGACCCACCATCCGCAGGAGGATCCATAAGGGGCGGTGCAGAGATCTGGGCGGCAGCCGAAGGCCTTGACGACCGGAGACTGACTCTGGGGACACGTGGCGTCGTCGGGGGGAGGAGCCTGAGCTCGTGCAGGAGGTCGAGAGTTACAGACTCGATACAGTCCCCCTCACCTCCAGCACAGTTTGGGCTCTGGAACCCAACTCCTCGAGAGGAGCTGGACTCTGTGTTTCTCTGGCGTTGCCGGGGGGAACGGTGGCAGAACAGAACGTCTGTCAGAGCCTCTGTCAGAGGGACTTTAAACTCACTCCTCCGGGAGAGTCTCTCCCAGGTTCTGGGGGAGTCTGAGTGAACTTTGTTCTCTGTGTCTCCTGTCGATGCAGCCGCTCGCAGCTGTGAGCGTAACATCTCTGGTGCCTGTTGCCACAGCAAACTCTGGGGTCAAGGGTCGTACCTGTGGGGTCAGTCGGGGGTCAGGGGTCAGTCAGGGGTCAGGGGTCGTACCTGTGGGGTCAGTCGGGGGTCAGAGGTCGTACCTGTGGGCTGCCAGGGCGACAACGGTGGACAGGACGGTGGTTCTGGTCTCTTTTCCTCCGAAGCCGCCGCCCATCCTCTTCACCCGCACATGGACATGATTCGATGGGACGCCCAGAACCCTGGCAACGAGGGACTGAGAGGAGACCAGGTCAGAACCAGGTCAGAACCAGGTCTGAACTGGGTCAGAACTGGGTCAGAACCGGGTCTGAACCAGGGACTCAACCAAAATGGTCTGTGGCTAGTCCTGGTTTAGACCTGGTTTAGTCCTGGTTTAGACTCAGTCTGGACCTGGTTCAGTCTTGGTCTGGACTCACCTGGGTCTTGGACGGGGCCTGGGTGGAGCTGAAGATCTCGATCTCGTTCTGGTCTCGGGGAATCGCCACCGTCGTGTTGGTCTCCAGGTAAAAGTGCTCCTGCCCCCCCAGGTGCAGCTCACCTGGAGCAGCAGCCAATCAGAGGAGAGGAGGAGAGCCAATCAGAAGAGAGGAGAGGGGAGGAGAGCCAATCAGAGGAGAGGAGGAATGTGTTCTGATTGGTTGGTTCCTTACCCTCCAGGATGTGGTCGGACTGCTTAAACCCCGCCTCCAGGTCTCCCTTTTCGAGCGTCCTGATTGGCTCATAGAATGACTGGGCCTTAATTGCTTCCTGTAAAATGACTAATGAGAATTAAGTACTAACCAGGGTCTGAACCAGGTCTAAACCCGGTCTCACCCCGGTCTAAACCAGGTCTAACTCTGTTTTTTTACCTGGATGGTGATGACTGCGGGCAGGTCCTGGTACTGGACCTTCACCATCTTGGCGGCTCTTTGGGCGTCGGCCTGAGTCTCCGCGACGACGGCGCCGATCACATGACCCACACAGGTCACCTGAGGTCACAGAGACGCTCAGGTCACCTCAGGTCATCTCAGGTCACAGAGACACGTCCACACAGAGGGCATCAGTCCTGGTCTTACCTCTCCCCAGTCCAGTCCTGGTCCTGGTCTAGTCCTGGTCCTGGTCCGGTCTTACCTCTCCCTGGGCCAGCACGGTCTCGTCGTAGACGACGGGTCCGGTTGAGTTGGATCCAGGAACATCCTCAGCCAAAAGAACAGAGACCACAGCCGGTACCGCCCGGGCCTCGGAGCAGTCCACGGACCTGCAAGAACCAGAACCAGAACCACACATACAGGACTTTGACTCTGGTACAGCTCCCCCTCGGCGGGCCTCAGGTGTAGTAGTATTTGCAGTAGTATTTGTAGTAGTATTTGCAGTAGTAGTATTCATAATACTCGTAGTACTGGTAGTACTCACAGTATTTTGGCGTGCGGTCTGGTACTGCAGACCAGACTCAGGTACAGTTCCCCGTCGGTGGGCCTCAGGTCGTCGCAGTACTGGGCCTCGCCGCTCGCCTGCTGCGCCGCGCTCACGTGCTGCAGGGGGCGCCCCACCACGTCCTCCACCGCCTGACCCGCCGGCACCGCCTACACCCGGACCACGACCGAGACCGGGACCGGGACAGAGACAAGGATCGGGACCGGGACCAGTACCGGGACGAGAGATCAGGACCAGGACCAGAGACCAAAACAGAGAACACAGACCAGGACCAAGATCAGATCAGGACCAAGATCAGACTGGACCAGAGTCCCAGTTAGACCAGGATCGAACCAGGACCAGACCAGGTCTAAACCAGGACTGAACAAGAACTAAACCAGGACTAAACCAGGACTGACCCAGACTTGTGTACCTGATAGAGTTGGACACTAGAGGGCGTTGGAGGGTGGAAGATTTCTGTGGCGCTGAGAAACTCGGGAGGAACCGACTCCACCGACAAACCCTGTACAAGTACACAAAAGTACTGCACATGTACTACACAAGTACTACACACAAGTACTATACAAGTACTACACAAGTACTACACAAAAGTACTAAACAAGTACTACACAAAAGTATTACAAAAGTACTACACAAAAGTACTACACAAAAGTACACTTTAACTAATGACCAAAAACTGTCAAAGGTCAGAGGTTCAGAGGGTCAGAGGTCAGCGGGTCAGCGGGTGAGAGGGTCAGGGGTCAGAGGGTCAGAGGTCAGAGGTCAGGGCGTGGGGACTGACCTGCTGGGCGAGGTTCTGCAGGACGCTCAGGTAGAACTTGTAGAAGAGACTCAGGACCAGGGTTCTTCTGTAGGACACCATCCCGCCCGGACACGACGGGTCCAGGGTCATCTCAGCGGCCAATGAGGAGCAGGCGGTCTGCAGAAGCTCCTCCCCCCACGACCTGAGCACCAATCACACACTGCGTCTGAGGGCTGAGCACCAATCACACACGGGGAGGGACCTGACACACGAGAGGGCACCTGACACACGGGGAGGGCACCTGACACACGAGAGGGCACCTGACACACGGGGAGGCACCTGACACACGAGAGGGCACCTGACACACGGACACACGGACACTGACACACGGGAGGCACCTGACACACGAGGCAGGGCACCTGACACACGGGGAGGCACCTGACACACGAGAGGGCACCTGACACACGGGGAGGGCACCTGACACACGAGAGGGCACCTGACACACGAGGAGGGCACCTGACACACGAGAGGGCACCTGACACACGGGAGGCACCTGACACGGGAGGCACCTGACACACGGGGAGGCACCTGACACACACACCTGGGAGGGCACCTGACACACGGGAGGCACCTGGGGAGGCACCTGACACACGAGGGAGGGCACCTGACACACGGGGAGGCACCTGACACACGGGGAGGCACCTGACACACGGGGAGGCACCTGACACACGGGGAGGCACCTGACACACGGGGAGGGCACCTGACACACGGGGAGGGCATCAGGTGCAGGTTGGCGTAGTGTCTCACCTTCCTTGGAGTGCTTTACCCGTTGCCGTGGCGAGGGCGGTGGTGGGGCCCATTCCCCCGAAGGCGAGCCTCAAGTCGTGAACCCGACTCGACCTGGGTTCAAAGGTCACGCTGAAGGTCGCCGTGACGATGCTGATGTCATCCTCCCGACGGCGAGAAGTTTTGTACGAACGAACGATCTGCCCCTGAGGAAGAGGAGGAAGAGGATCCACAAATCACATTTTACAAACAAAATTTTTAGTTTTACAAATGTTTTTTTTTTTCAAATATAAAAATATATTTTTACAAATCCACATCTACAAACCAAAATACAAGTTAATATAATATTATATAATTTAATACAAATATTAAATTTACATTTGTGTCAAAACAAATTAACAAAACAACGACCCTAAACATTTATGAATATTCATGAGGCAAACGTGGGCAGGTGTGCACCTGTCGGCTGTAGGGCGGGTGTGCACCTGTCGGCTGTAGGGCGGGGGTGTGTGTGTGTACCTGTCGGCTGTAGGGCGGGTGTGCACCTGTCGCTGTAGGGCGGGTGTGTACCTGTCGGCTGTAGGGCGGGTGTGTGTGTAGGGCGGGTGTGTACCTGTCGGCTGTAGGGCGGGTGTGTACCTGTCGGCTGTAGGGCGGGGGTGCACCTGTCGGCTGTAGGGCGGGGGTGTGTGTACCTGTCGGCTGTAGGGCGGGTGTGTGCACCTGTCGGCTGTAGGGCGGGTGTGCACCTGTCGGCTGTAGGGCGGGTGTGTACCTGTCGGCTGTAGGGCGGGTGTTGTACCTGTCGGCTGTAGGGCGGGTGTGCACCTGTCGGCTGTAGGGCAGGGTGTGCACCTGTCGGCTGTAGGGCGGGTGTGTACCTGTCGGCTGTAGGGCGGGGGCGGTGTGTGCACCTGTCGGCTGTAGGGCGGGTGTGTACCTGTCGGCTGTAGGGCAGGGTGCGGGTGTGCACCTGTCGGCTGTAGGGCGGGTGTTGTCACCTGTCGGCTGTAGGGCGGGTGTGTACCTGTCGGCTGTAGGGCGGGTGTGCACCTGTCGGCTGTAGGGCGGGTGTGCACCTGTCGGCTGTAGGGCGGGTGTACCTGTCGGCTGTAGGCGGGTGTGCACCTGTCGGCTGTAGGGCGGGTGTGTACCTGTCGGCTGTAGGGAGGGCGGCGGGTGTGCACCTGTCGGCTGTAGGGCGGGTGTGTACCTGTCGGCTGTAGGGCGGGGTGTGCACCTGTCGGCTGTAGGGCGGGTGTGTACCTGGTGTGTACCTGTCGGCTGTAGGGAGGGGGCGGGTGTGCACCTGTCGGCTGTAGGGCGGGTGTGTACCTGTCGGCTGTAGGGCGGGTGTACCTGTCGACCTGTCGGCTGTAGGGCGGGTGTGTACCTGTCGGCTGTAGGGCGGGGTGTGTACCTGTCGGCTGTAGGGCAGGGTGTGTACCTGTCGGCTGTAGGGCGGGTGTGTACCTGTCGGCTGTAGGGCAGGGTGACGCTCACGAGGACCTCTGCTGGCCGAACCGCCGTGCGTCTGTAACCAGTGAAGAAATCCTGGTCCATGTGCAGCTCTCTGACGCCCTCTGAAGGACAACAGAGGTATTACACCTGCACTATGTGTACTGTGTGTACTATTGTAGTACTGTAGTACTACTGTTGTACATTACATTACATATAGTACTACAGTAGTACATATAGTATTGCAGTACTACAGTAGTACTACTGGTACTACTGCCCTCTGAAGGATGAGATGTTACATTACAACAAAACTGCACTATACAGTACTACAGTACACTGAAATACTACAGTATGAGTACTATTATTCAGTCCTGGTTCAGTCTTGGTTTAGTCCTGGTTTAGTCCTGGTTTAGTCCTGGTTCAGTCCTGGTTCAGTCCTGGTTCAGTCCTGGTTTACCTCTGTCTCTCAGTGTGAGTTTGGCAGCTGTGGACATCAGGACGGGGTTCAGGTCTGAGATGGGACTCGCCGTCATGATGTTTCCTCCAAGAGCCTGAAACGAGACTCAGTCAAACCCCAAAACCCCAAAACCCCAAAACCCCAAAACCCTAAAACCCCAAAACCCTAAAACCCCACACCCCAAAAGTGAGACCTGCCCCTGAAGCTGAGCGCCTCAGTGAGGAGCGTCAGACAGAGCAGTGCCTACAGTTAGCGCCACAGTCAAACTAGACTCACAGCCACGTTTCGGATTTGTTTCCCGGCGAACCAGCGCAGCTGCTCCAGAGCGGCTCTGAACACCTCCGTCTGACACGCAGGAAGTGACCTCACGGCGTTCTGTAGCTCCGCCTCCATGCGGTCCAGGCTCACGGCGGCGCCAAACTCCAGACCTGCCAAAATAAAAGCCTCCATCAGCAAACTATCAAACCTGTGAGCCTTTCACAATAAGAGCCCAGAGACTATCCCTTCACAATCAGACGCACCTGTCAGCCCTGTCACAATCAGACGCACCTGTCAGCCCTGTCACAATCAGACGCACCTGTCAGCCCTGTCACAATCAGACGCACCTGTCAGCCCTGTCACAATCAGACGCACCTGTCTCCGTGTGTTGCACTGAGTTCAGCTCCGGGACCTGAGTCGGAGAAATGAGGAACGGATACTCCATGTTTTTAAACTTCACCTCCACCCCTGGAACACAAAGACATGGTTCAGTCCTGGTTCAGTCCTGGTTAAGTCCTGGTTCAGTCCTGGTTTAGTTCTGGTTCAGTTCTGGTTCAGTTCTGGTTCAGTCCTGGTCTTTGTTACTGACCCACTTCTGTGTTTCCAACCACGATCCTGGACTCAGGGTGGGTCCACTTCAGGTCCAGGAGCTGGTCCAGAGAAACTGGCTGGAACCAAGTGCAGCGAGGACTCCTGAAGACCAGAGACCGGGACCTTCTGGACCGAGTCAGGGACTAGACCGGGTTTAGACCAGAGACCAGACAGGAGCAGACAGGAGCAGACAGGGGCAGACAGGAGCAGACAGGAGCAGACAGGAGCAGACAGGAGCAGACAGGCAGACAGGAGCAGACAGGAGCAGACAGGAGCAGACAGGAGCAGACAGGAGCAGACAGGAGCAGACAGGAGCAGACAGGGGCAGACAGGAGCAGACAGGAGCAGACAGGGCAGATAGGAGCAGACAGGAGCAGACAGGAGCAGACAGGAGCAGACAGGAGCAGACAGGAGCAGACAGGAGCAGACAGGGGCAGACAGGAGCAGACAGGAGCAGACAGGAGCAGACAGGAGCAGACAGGGGCAGACAGGGGCAGACAGGAGCAGACAGGAGCAGACAGGAGCAGAGTTTCCGATGAGTTTTTGGTCTCTGACAAAACTTAACCTGAACTTTTCTATAATGACACAACTGAACATGAACAGAACTTCAGATTTGAAGTACTTGCAGTACTCTCAGTACTCTCAGTACTTGCAGTACTGGCAGTACTCATAGTACTTGTAGTACTACTGGCCGTGTGTGGGTCTGTGGTGAAACTCACGATGAGCTCCGGGGGGAAGATGACCTCCTGTGTGGGGTCAAAGGGCATGAACTCTGAGGCGTCAAACAGAGCCCGACTCAGACCCGAGTCCGAGTCCCGGTCCAAGTCCTGGTCTAGACCCTGGTCCTGGTTCATGCAGCAGCCGTTGGTCCTGCCTCCACAGCAGCCACCGTTCTGAGAAAAACAAATGTTTCACACAAGTTTAAATTTAACAACCCCCCCAACCCCCCCTCACCCCTCATCCTCTCACCCACCTCACACCCTTCTCACCCCCTCACCCCCTCACCCCCTCACCCTCTCACCCCTCACCCTCCTCACCCCTCACCCTCTCACCCTCGGGTCTCACCTGGACTTTCTCGTGGTCCAGACTCAGGTCTCCGTTCTGTTTGGCTCTGACGCCGTCCTGAAAAACACAAGTCTCACCCTGAAACATCCTGAAGGTGAACGGGTGGGTGAGGGTGAGGTGGGTGGGTGAGGTGAGGGTGGGTACCTGGGGTGAGGGTGAGGTGGGTGGTTGGGTGAGGGTGGGTGAGGTGGGTGAGGTGGGTGAGGGTGAGGGTGGGTGGGTGAGGTGGGTGAGGTGGGTGAGGTGGGTGAGGTGTGGTGGGTGAGGGTGGGTGAGGGTGGGTGAGGGTGGGTGAGGTGGGTGAGGTGGGTGGGTTGGGTGAGGTTGGGTGAGGTGAGGCGGGTGGGTGAGGTGGGTGAGGCGGGTGGGTGAGTTGGGTGGTTGGGTGAGGGTGGGTGAGGTGGGTGAGGGTGAGGCGGGTGGGTAAGGTGGGTGGTTGGGTGAGGGTGGGTGAGGTAGGTGAGAGGATGAGGGGGGGTGAGGGTGAGGCGAGTGGGTGAGGTGGGTGAGGGTAGGTGAGGTGGGTGAGGGTGAGGCGGGTGCGTGGGTGGGTGGGTGGGTGGGTGAGGGTGGTACCTGGGTGAGGTGGGTGGTTGGGTGAGGTGGTGGGTGAGGTGGGTGGGTGAGGTGAGGGTGGTTGGGTGAGGTGGTGGGTGGTGGGTGGGTGAGGTGGGTGAGGTGGGTGAGGGTGAGGTGGGTGGGTGAGGTGGGTGAGGTGGGTGAGGTGAGGTGGGTGAGGTGGGTGAGGTGAGGTGGGTGAGGTGGTGGGTGAGGTGGGTGAGGGTGAGGTGGTGGGTGAGGTGGGGTGAGGTGGGTGAGGGTGAGGTGGGTGGGTGAGGTGGGTGAGGTGGGTGAGGGTGGGTGAGGTGGGTGAGGTGGGTGAGGTGGGTGGGTAGGGGTGAGGTGGGTGAGGGTAGGTGAGGTGGGTGAGGTGGGTGAGGGTGGTACCTGGGTGAGGGTGAAGGTTTTGAATCCTTCCAGAATGGGTCTGTACCCAGTACAACGACACAAGTTTCCTACAAAACACCAAAAAACACCAGGAAGTAGTAGCACTAGTAGTAGTAGTAGTAGTAGTAGTAGTAGTAGTAGTAGTAGTAGCAGTAGTAGTAGTAGTAGTAGTAGTAGTAGTACCCTGAAAGGCCTGGTGCAGGAGCTCTGAAGGGGGAGTGGGGTTGTTCCGGAGCAGAGTGTACATGGACATGACGAGTCCTGGAGTACAGAAGCCGCACTGAGACCCGTGAGCGCCAGAGATACGCTCCTGTAAACATATATATATATAACATATATATAACATATATATAACATATATGTGTGTGTGTGTGTGTGAGTATATATATATATATATATATATATATATATATATATATATATATATATATATATATATATATATATATATATATATATATATATATATATATATGGGCTCACCTGGACCGGGTGCAGTTTTCGGGCGGTGGAGCCGATCCCTTCGACGGTGGTGACGGCAGCGAGATGCAGCGAGCAGAGAGGAGCCAGACACGCGTTCACCGCCAAGTGACTGTCACGCTCAGGAAATACACCTGATGCCCTCCCACATCCTCCTGATGCCCACATCCTCCTGATGCCCACATCCTCCTGATGCCCTCCCACATCCTCCTGATGCCCTCCCACATCCTCCTGATGCCCACATCCTCCTGATGCCCTCCCACATCCTCCTGATGCCCACATCCTCCTGATGCCCACATCCTCCTGATGCCCTCCCACATCCTCCTGATGCCCTCCCACATCCTCCTGATGCCCACATCCTCCTGATGCCCTCCCACATCCTCCTGATGCCCTCCCTGATGCCCTCCCACATCCTCCTGATGCCCTCCCTGATGCCCTCCCACATCCTCCTGATGCCCTCCCACATCCTCCTGATGCCCTCCCTGATGCCCTCTGTGTGCAGTTACAGTATAAGGATACAGGGGGCGCTGTGAGTCCAGGTGGTATCGTGAGATCATGACGGTGCAGGCGCCACAGCCGCCCTCAGCACAGCCCAACTTAGTCCCTGTCAGACCCACTGAAACCAGACCAGACCAGACCGGGTTAGACCGGACCAGACCGGGTTAGACCGGACCAGACCGGGTTAGACCGAACCAGACCGGGTTAGACCAGACCAGACCGGGTTAGACCGGACCAGACCAAGCTAAATGTAACACTAACCTGGTCTAACCCCAGGCTGGACCTGGTCTGGACCTTGTCTGGACCTGGTCTGGACCTGGTCTGGACCTGGTCTGGACCTGGTCTAAGTGTGAGTTCTTACATTTCCTGCGCAGGTAAAACAAAAGGGTCATCTGAGGGTCTGGACTCTTCTCCACCACCTGCAACAACAGAACCGAGTCAACAACAGAACCGAGTCAACAACAGAACCGAGTCAACAACAGAACCACAAAAAAACTGTAATCCTAATGAAGAACTTCTGCCAGAGTCGACCTGGAGTGGACAGGACCTGGAGTGGACAGGACCTGGAGTGGACTGGATCTGGAGTGGACTGGACCTGGAGTGGACTGGACCTGGAGTGGACAGGACCTGAAGTGGACCTGAGCTCTGGTTTGTGTCTTGTGTCTTTGATTTTTGTCTCGTCTTGTGTTTTTTTTCCTTCTTTTGAGTTTCTGCTCTTCAAAACTAAATTAACTCTGGATTTGAAGAGTTGATCTAAAATGACTCGATTTTCTCAAACTCAGGTTTGGGCAAAACCTGGTGCCCCCCGGGACCTTTCCAGTCGTGTGTCTGTCGGCTCTTTCCGTGGACGACATGTGGAACCGTGGCTCTAAATCACAGGTGTCAAACATACGGCCCGGGGGCCAGATCCGGCCCTCCAAGACCTTTAATCTGGCCCTCAGGCTGATTTTCTACTAAAATATTTTAATGATTTTTCTATTAAAATCTTGTTAATTTTCTGTGGTGTTTATCACAGCAGCGTCTCCAGCGTCTCTGTACGTGGCCCCTCCCACCAGAGCAGCACAAATGAAGACTTGTCTCTTTCCAAACGCTCTTAAAGGACGATCGTTTTGACTGTTGACCGTGACACCCTCATCAGAAAAATGTCCAACATGAGAAAAGTGGAGCCGAGTGCAGGATTTTACAACAAAAATGGACTTATTCCTGTTTACAGACAAGTTCATGTTCAAACTTTGTGTTGAAATTGTGTTTTTCTTAAAGTTTCAGGTTGTTCATAATATTATAATATTATAATAAGAAAGTGTTCATCAATTAAAAAAGATTTCTGTAATAGATTTGTGTTTCTCTGCACAAATATTTGAACTTATTGTTATTTTTGGGGTTTATATGACATGAGTTTTCTGATCCAGACACTTTGGATCAAAGTCGGTTGGACACGACGCCCGGAACAAAATGAGTTTGACTCTCCTGGTCTAAATCAAAACACTGATCAAATCTCAGAGAAACTTGAAGCTTTGCACAAAGACGCGAAAACTTTAAGATCAGAACACGAACAAACAGAACATGAACAGAACACGAACAAACAGAACACGAACAAACAGAACACGAACAAACAGAACAGAACACGAACAAACAGAACACGAACAGAACACGAACAGAACACGAACAAACAGAACAAACAGAACACGAACAAACAGAACACGAACAGAACACGAACAGAACACGAACAGAACACGAACAAAACACGAACAGAACACGAACAGAACACGAACAGAACACGAACAAAACACGAACAGAACACGAACAGAACACGAACAGAACACAAACAAACAGAACACGAACAGAACACGAACAGAACACGAACAAACAGAACACGAACAAACAGAACACGAACAAACAGAACACAAACAGAACACGAACAGAACACGAACAGAACACGAACAGAACACGAACAGAACACAAACAAACAGAACACGAACAGAACACAAACAAACAG